ACAATTTTTGGTGCATTGAGAAGCAGCTATAGAGGTTTCTACATCATTATATTTATTCAAAGTCCTTATGTTGCATCAATAATTTCGAGTGAATTTATTGTTGTTTGATAAGAAATTTCTTGTTGAGTCAATCTGGCCTACAAAAAATGACTCCTTGATTTAGTGCTAGACTGTCCAAATTGTAGTGCAAAATACGAGGGAAATACAAATGAACTGGACAAAGATGTTGCCTTCCTTCCCCTTTACTTTGGAAGAGTGAATTAAGTATTTTTGCGGTTTCCTGCTTTTGATAAGAAATTTCTTGTGGAGTAAATCTGGCCTGCAGAGGATGACTCCTTAATTTAGCACTAATTTAGTGCCAAGAAAAGAGGGAACAAATGAACTGGACAAAGATGCTTGCCTTTTCCTTTGGAAGTTAGTATTAGGTTGTAATATTGTCTGTCAGACCATTAAGATGACATTCTACAATTTTCCTTGTATAATTGCGTAGCAAAGTGATGGAGTGGAGAGGACTGCACCCAGCAAGTCAAGTTTAGATTTATGCCCTATTTGATAACTCAGTTTAATACTTAAATTTAATAAATTCAGATATTAATATATTCAAACCATTTGATAACCCAAAATTGAACATCTGAATTAATTAAGTGACACTGAATTTTTTAGGCAAAACTTGCTTTCAAAATTAAGTGACAAGCTAGTCGCTTATTACTAAATGTGATATGCACTCAAATATATTAGATTTAATATTTAACAATTCAATAAGTTAATATATTTAAATTTCAAACTTCAGTTTTATCAAACGCACCTATGGTTCAACTCATATTTTTTTGGCTCGAACTTAAACTGAAAATCAATTGAGCACCTATGGTTCGACTCATGTTCACTAATTGATCTCGAGTATATAACTGTAATCTTTTCTGAAATTGAATTTATTGGCAGGTGGCCATAATGATTAACGAAAGTACAAGACTGTATACCTTTTTTTTTTTAGTTCAATGAACTTTCAAGTGAAATAACTTTGGCCCAAACTCGGTTCAAGCCTTTTATCAAGTTGCTCAAAGCTTGAACTGAGCTAAGCCACTGCCAATATCAGGCTCAGTTTGGAAGAAAAATTTTCATCAAAAAATGGAAAGTGTCCAACTTGTCGAAACAAAATTTCTTAATACATCAACAAGTCTAACTTGAAAGTTCAAACTCAAGGACTTAATGTGTTAGTTTCAAGACTAGAAATAATCATTTTCTTCAGAGCAATTTATGGGAAGCATATTAGTGAGTCAAATTAAAAAGGGCAAATTACATTTTAGCCTCCTGTGGTTTTCGCAAAAACCACATAACCCCCCCATGATTCAAAAAGCTATACATAAACTCCCTGTGATTTGGGTTGAACTGTCAAATAGACGGAAAACATGAATCGTGACGATTCGTGGGCAAAACGCGCTGATTGTACTGATAGCAGTCAGAAACATTCCCATATTACCCCTAAAAACATTTCCATATTACCCCTAAAAGCTTCTTCTTTTTTGCGGGCTTGATATTGAATCCTCATGTTTGCAATTCTGGGAGAGTTTGTTCTGAGCTTGAGACCCCCGGCCCCGGTGATGACGGACTCACCAAAATTGTTGCCGCCGGAGGACTTTGAATAATCATATTCTGGGAGAGTTTTTATTATTAGATTACTGTCAGTTTGCAATTCTGGGAGAGTTTTTATTGTTGCCGCCGGAAGTCCTCATATTACTCCTACTCCCCGAGCATTATTACTCCTACTCCTAAGAATGTCATCCTTGGCCACTTTGACGGACAAAGACCGGTACTCACTTCCCTTCAGCCTACAACTTGGCTCATAATCCCCTTCTTCTCTCTCCTTGCTGATGTTGCTGCGGGGTGGCTTATTAGTCATAATTGGAGGGAGATCGAGTATTTCAGAAACTTCAATGCTGAAACCCCCGAGCTTAGCAGCCGAACAAGGCTCACTAACATTTTTTATCAATTCTGGTTGGTTCAAGAGAGCCTTGTTTTCGACTGATTTGCACAGACAAGAAGCTGACCCTGAGACCATGCCCTGGACAGTTGTTTCGGCAGGGGTGCCGCGGGTAGAGCAAAATTCAAAATGCTCAAGTGCATCACTGATTTATTAAAGTCTGAAGCCCGATAGTTTCTGTTCAAAATACTCAAGTGCATCTTATATGCTAAACTGATGTAAAAAAACTTACCAGATGCAACAATAGCTTTCGTGAAACTCTTTCACTGCTACTTTTTGATCTTCAATGGTAAATCTACGGTTTTAATTTTGTGGGTTAAATTTTCTCTCCTTCATTCGGGGTCATGTTTTTTCTCTCTCTTTCTCACGACAAAGACCAGAACAAGGGAGAATCTGACTTCATCTGCTTCCTTTTTGTATTTATATTAGGGTAATTTGGACATTTTGCCCAGGAATCGTCATGATTCGTGCTTTCCGTCTATTTGATAGTTCAACCCAAACCACAGGGAGTTTATGTATAGCTTTTTGAATCATGGGGGGGTTATGTGGTTTTTGCGAAAACCACAGGAGGTTAAAATGTAATTTGCCCAATTAAAAATAATTATTTCAAGATTGGGGTGGTTTATTTTCGTCAGGGTATATTATGGGTTGAATTTCAGTATAATTCTAGAAAAAAAAAAAAGGTATGGTCAAGAGGAAGCAAAGAAAGATTGAGTGTTTAACCGAGGCGGATGTTCTGGCCAGGCGACTTCGGTGCTGAGTAAACTTTTTCCTTTGGGTAGCTCCTTAGCAGTATTTGATTGATTATATTCATCTATCAACTTAACCAATGTGATTTTACTTCTTTCTGGTTTTCATTAAGAGTTTTGCTTGCATAATTTCTAGTGGACATGTTCCTAGAATTTTCTGCCATTTCTTTTGGGCACCAACTGAGTTGTGATGCCATTTTGAGCCCCCGAATTAGCCTGGGTACACAAAACCAAAACGCGACCTGAGATGGGTTTTGGGACTTAAAAGAATATGAGGGTATAAATTTTATCCTTTTCAAGGTGTGAGATTGAAAAGGGATGAGATGTGAGAAACTACTTTAAGAATTTTCTTCATTTGAAAAATTAATAGAAGTAAAATGGTGCGGTGATTTTTAAATATCCATTTCTTTCTCTTGGACTACCAGACTTAGAAGAGATACGGCAGACAGAGAATAGCCCATCACTTATGATAAAACACATAATCATGTGTTTTTATAGTAGTCATAGTCATGGACTTATATTCTTATACTATATAAGAATGAGTTATGATGAAAGGGACTCTTTGAAAATGTGGAATGTTGTAAAGTTTTATTTTTCAAACTTTTGGAACAACTGAGAGCAGCATGTATTTAGGTGTATTTACCAAAATGCCCTCACTTTGGTACATTTAAAACTTTGATTTATGGAGACATTTGGATATTTCTGAAATATGAAATTATTTTGCAAACATTTTTGCATGGAGTACAACTCAAATAAGCTTATATGTTGGTATAATTACTGAAATGGTGTTTTAGATATATTTAATTGAAGTGTGGTTTTTGTTGTATAATTAACATAAAGACATATTAACACATTGTGCGATTAACACGTTGCTATAACTAGCCATTGAAGGATATTCCTTTGTCTGAAACAATTTATGTTTGCTCTTGGGCGATTTTCAACTGACGTTTGTAGGGGTCTTTTGGGAATGGTAAAATTGTTAAAGTATTGATAAAACAAAATGTACAAGTATGTGCTGCAATTAGAATGTACTATTATTAGTTTTATCATATTTGATGACTATTTCTTTCGAGAATGTACTATTATTTGTCTAATGAAAATCCTCTCTAACCATAGGCATCAAACACCTGCACGATGCGCGGGCACCCCTAAGTGTATAGAATTATAGTAAAGTTTAATGGTTGAATAAGTCTTACTTGACTAACTAATCTCTCTCGCAATTGCCCATTATTGCACCAACGCTTGTGATGTCAACCCACTATATTATAGGGATAATTTTTCTATGCATTGTCTATGTATAATATTATTTTATACTAACAAATTTAGATCATGTCACATGACATGAATTTAAAATTAAAATTCAAATCATGGACATATGATATTCATCCAAAACTGCTAATGTAAAAATATCACTACACTGTCTGTCTATAAAAAGTTAATCCATATTAAAGTATATATATATATATGCAAAATCAATCAAGGTGATTGAACATTGCTGGGGTCTGGTTGGGGCGTTGACTTGGGTCCAACCACCAATGACTGAAGGATATTTTATTTCTCATTTCAAAATCAGAATTTTGTGCTCATCCACGCCATTCTTCTTTCCCGTTTTGTCTTTTCTATTACACGGAGTATCTACTACATAGTAAGAACTAGGGGTGGACGCAGATTTGATTTGAGTTAACCCATTTTATCAAGTTAGAAATAGTTTCAACTGCTCTAATTTTCATATTGATACGATTTTTTTTGTAAAAAAAATAATTAGTGAAATATTTCCAAATTTTACAAGTTAATTAAACAAATAAATCAAGAAATAAAAAATTATTTCCTTGCTGTGCCACATTTTTATTAATCATCTAGTGACTAAGGTTGAAATCCCAAAATATAAAGGTTTTGAGTTTTAATCCCCTCTCCTCTCCCTACGCTGCTAGAAAAAGGAAAACAAAAAGTTGAGCAACTGTACAATTTGGCTATTTGTATTGCAAAATCGTAACTTGATCATTCATTTGCTTTTGACCAATTAAAAATTATCCAAAGCTGCTCTAATCTTCATCTTCACGCATTAATTAGCCAAAAAAATTATGGCTATTCAGAAAAGAAATAGTAATTGTGCAAATAAAGAAAATTAAACCGCAAATATGAGAAAAAAAAACTCTAGTGCAAAATATATTGGACATCAGAATTTCACCTCATATAGTTCCTCTTTCAATATTTGCAGATACATTGGACCTTTTTCCAAATTCAAGAATCCCAATGGAGTAACTAGAACCAATTCATCTCCTTCTCATGTTCCAATTGAACACTTTCCATGTTTGCTTTTTCTCTGAAGAACGAGACCAGCAATACTGGTAGAATCTAGATAGGATCCAATAATCAATATAAAAAGACCATGCTCTTCTATAATAAGGGCTAACACAAAGAATTACCACTAATGAAATCATGATCACCATATATGAAGCAAAAAAGCTCCAAGCGAATGCTGCCACATCAATTGCACCATCAACTTCTATGTCTTGATCACCAACATTTTCAGGGTGTGGAGCAGACGGGTTACAACTTCTCTTGAGCAATGGTCCACAGAGACCTGGATTCCCTCTATAATTGCTGTCGTCAAAGTTTGCAAACTCCCCTGTATCAGGTACCCTGCCAGACAAGTTATTGTATGACACATTGAAGATGGACAAGAAGTTCAAGGATGCCAGCTCTGAAGGTATTTCACCACTGAAATTGTTGTAAGAAAGATCCAAGCTCTCTATTTGGTTCAACATGGAAAGTCTTGAGGGAATAGATCCTTGCAAGTAGTTGTGGGATAAATTTAATGCCCGGATATGTCTGAGATCACCAAATTCAGGAGGAATCGCTCCAATCAATTGGTTACACGACAAATCAAGTCCAGACATGAAATTTAATATATTCCCTGCATAGCGTTCGCTTCTACTTTTTGTTGTGAATATCACATTTTCTTGCTCGGAAAAAGTTATATAATACTCACTCCAGCTTATCTCCATAGCCAGAAAATGAGATCCAGAGTACTCTGGGAAGCTTTCAGTCTCACCAAAATCCGGGCCATAGGTAAAAAATGCATCTGCGGAGAACTGCCCTCTGCCAAAAGAAATGTTGTTGAAGCATGTAGGCAGTGGCCCAGAAAACTTATTCTGAGAAAGATCCGTAATTGTCACATTCTGCAGCTGACATAAGTGCAAAGGAATATGATCATGCAATTCATTTCCCCCCAAAAAAAAAACTCTGAGCTCTTTAAGTTTACCAATATAGCGTGGTATACCGCCAGACAGCTTGTTGTAACCCAAATCGAGTGTCATCAAATTGAAGCTCACAGACAGCATGTTTGAGATGGGCCCTGAGATCATGTTGTGATGCAGGTGGATGAACTTCAATGACGTAAGCTCGGAGCAGGCTGGTAAAGGTCCGATCAACTGATTTTTGGAGAGGTCTAAAAATTCAAGATGTGAAAGTTTGCATATCGCATCTGGTAAGCTACCTTCTAGCAAGTTGGCTGACATGACAAGAGCCTCCAAATATGAAAAATTTCCAATCCAACTTGGAATTTTGCCTTGAAAAGAATTGTTTGAAATATCCAGCAAAGATAAACTTGGAGAACGAGATAATCGATGTGAAATGCTCCCAATAAAATGGTTATTATCCAAGTGAAGGAATTCTAGGCTTGTTAAGTTTGTGGACCCAGAAGGAAAATTGCCATGCAAATTATTATAAGACAATACCAATATTCTAAGAAATAAACATCCAGTTCCAATTTGACTTGGCACCTCCCCTGAAAACATGTTGTGGGACAAATCAATTTTTTCTGCCATTGTCAAGTTTCCCAATGACTGGGGAATATTGGCTTCCAATGAATTTCCTGACAAATTCAACCACTGCAGAAATGGAAAAGATAAACCGATATTTTCGGGAACCTTACCACTGACGTCATTGTTTGAGATGTCTAATCGACTTAGATTTATTTCCAGAGAATCATCTACAAGAAACGGACCCGTAAAAGAGTTATCCTTTAGAACAAGAACTTCTAAGTTTGCATTTTTTTGCAAAAGCCAAGTAGGAATCTGGCCGACTAACTTATTGGAAGACAGATCAAGAATTTGCATTTCTTTCTGATAGAGCAGGAAACTTGGGATTCTTCGAGTCTGATTATTCAAGTTGCAGCCAGATAAAGAAAGAACCTTTAGCTGAAATGGTGGGGGAAGAGCAAGATCCTCAGTGTCGACATGTGAATCATTGTTCAAAGGTCCAAGTTCGAACCCCTGAAGCTTTGAATGGTTGCCCAAAGAATTGAAAGAAAAAGAACCTCCAAAAAGGTTGCCAGAGAGAGATAGATACTCAAGGTGTACGAGAGGAGTAATGAGAGCTGCAGGGATGTTTCCGCTGAGAATATTGTTGGAGAGATCAAGAACTCGAAGAGACGTCAAGTTTCTGAAGCACATAGGAACAGGCCCGTAAAAATTATTGTCACTCAGGTGAAGTTCATCGAGATTCTTCAAACTGCAAATTCCTGTCCAAAAGACAAGTTCATTATAAGCTTTTCATACAGTAATAGTTGATGCTAGGTATGAATTGTCAATATATAGCCAATTCAGAAACCATGAAATCATATGTTACACGCAAAAAAATTGAAATGTTAGTTTCCAAATTGCATCCGTTCTCAATCAACATTTTAAAAGTAAATAGCAACTTCATGCAAGCAACCTTGAAGGACGGAGGAATCATTAATACCAATACCGTTCAAAGATAAGGCTTTGAGAGAAGTTAAAGCCTCAATGTCGGAGAGTTTGTTAAATTTTGTATATTCAAGATTGAGTACCTTCAAGTTCTCCAGCTTCAATTCTGCAATTCAAAACTTTATGTTAGTATTATAGTTTTGGATATATCAAAATTACATAACTATTGTTGCATCTCCATCCCCTATTCTATAAGAATTTGTATATTTCAAACAAGGTAAATTATGCCACAGGTCAACAAAATTTTCAAAGTCTTATTTAATCCACTATACTATTTTTTCACGTCAATGATGCATTGAACAGCTAAAAAGGATCAAATTGGGCTATTCTATCCATTTGCTCGATTAAAATAGACAAAATTCATTGCATGTGAGTTGCACACTCTGCAGGGTCAGCCTTGTCATTTGGTAGTAAAAAGTTGTATGGTAGACAAAGGGGACGTTTGATAAAACTAAAAACTAAAACCTGAAATTTGAAAACTGAAACTTAATTGAAACCTAAATTTACTAAATTCATAAAGTGAAATATGTTTGATAACCAGCTAAATTCGAGCGCTAAATTAAAATATTTTATTTTGTTTTTAATTATACAGTTGAATAGTAGTATTATACGTTTTACTTTTGTATTATATTAACTTTTTAAATATCAATTTTTTGTACTAATAGTCTGCATGCTAATAGGAAAAGTATGTTTTTTGTATGTGCATATGAGAAACAATTTGCAAAATTTAGTGTGAAAATGTCTATCTTCAAGAGAAGTAAAATATATATTTTGTGTGTTTGATGGAGAGATTATGTTTAAAAGTGCATGTTATACAAGAAAATACGTGTAGGAGAGGGAGAGAGAATATGTGTGCATCTGAGAGAGAGAGTGTGTGTGTGTGTAGGTGTGAGAGAGAGAGATGTATATGTGTGAAAGTGTGTGAGGGTATGAGAGCGCTCCTGTGCCACTCTCTGTGCCACTTTTTATTATATTGTTATTTCTCCTACATAAACATCACGTTTAAGTTCTTTTTCAGACATCTTTCAGACTACTGCTCGCATGTTACTCCACAGATAGTTATTAAAATGTAAACAACTTTGAATCTGTAAATTAAGCCACCCCTCTAATCCCATATTTGTGAACGTAAAATTGAAAAGAATAAGACGCTTTACAATTAAAGTTCACATTTAAGAGCTTTTAATTGGAATAGAGTACAAATAAATAATACTAAGTCATTATAAGTATAGATATTCATTTACTTCTACGTGAGAAACAAGAACTAAAACAATGAAGCGGAAAAGAAAAAATAGACAAACAGAAAGTCAAAGAAATTTATGTAAGGTCAACGAAAGTCTCATAAGAGAATTAGGAAATGCTAAATTTCTTTCTTTACGAAGAAATTCTGCTTTATATTCTTCTTTACTTGTTGGCCAATATAATATTTTCTTAAAATTTTGCAGTGACATTTTTTTTTGTAAATTTTATTTCTCTACTTTGTTTATGAATCAAGTTATTTTCTTACTAAAGTACTTCTATTATTTCTCGAAAGATTTTGGAGTGCAAGGACCACCTGTTTCGTAATGTTTCGCTAATATAGTTTTTTACTTTTTTTATTTAATTTCCAAAATGTTTTCTAATAAAGCACGTCAACAATCAGTAAACTTTTCTAAATTCTCATTTAGTCCATTTTATTATTTTCATATATGCAATGAGGAAAATGTTCCAAATGTAACGTGCAATTCACATGCCGTAAATTTTGTCTCTTTTTAATTGAAAAAATAAATAGAACGACCAATTAATTATTTTTAGGAGTTTAGCAGTTCAGTTGACATAGGAAACACTACAGTAAGCTAAATTAGATCTGTAACTTCGTAAACCAAATAGCCCTTATAATATTAAGTATTGATGTTTAACATAAGATTAGAAAAGGAAAAAAAATGTACAAATAGAACTCCCACATCTTATTCGTGTTCCATTTTGCAATTGAAAGTTAATTAAACGAATGGATAATTCTAATGTTCAGCTAATCTAGAAATTTAGCCAAATTTGTTAATTTTTAGGAATTTATTTTCTTATTGGAATTTGGACATAATATAACATCAAATTATAGAAATAGGGAAAAGTACACAGATAGTTCTGTCCTATCATTATAATCTTGAAATAGAAAGAGAAAATAATGGTTATACTCCAAATCATGTGACAGGATCCAAAGAAAATTATTTCGCATCTAGCTTATTCTGGGAATGTAATTTTTTTTTGTTAAAAAAAAAACACGATGGGGGTTATGTGTATATTTTGAAAATCATAAGGGGGTTATATGGTAAAACATTAAACTATAAGGAGGTTATATGATAAAATATAAAATCAAATGGGATTAGTGCATCATGTATATTATGTTTATATATTTTTATCACTTCAGTCATTTTAAATTTTAAACAAGTGTAATTTCAACATTTTTAAAGGTTCTGTTACAAATGATTATCTCCGTAACTTTGACACTTTAATCCAAATCATGAGGGGTTATATATAGTTTTTGAAACCATAAGGAGGTTATGTACAAAAATGTAAAATATAATTTGCCCTTTTTTTCTTTCTTAAGACTATAGCCAATTATTAAAATGTAAACAAACTTTGGATATGTAAATTAAGTTACCCTCTAATCCCATGCTTGCGAAGGTAAAAGGAAAAACAAATAAGATGCTTTGCAATTTGCTCCACATCAATAAAGTTCACATTTAAGAGCTATTAATTGAAATAGATTACAAATAAATAATGCTGAATCAGTCTAAGTTTAGATATTCATTAATTTCTATGTGCTGAACAGGACCAAAAACAAATGAAGTAGAAAAGCAAAAAATAGAACAGACGCAAAGTCAAAGAAAATTGTGTAAAAAGGTTAAAGAAAGTCTCATATAAGAATTATAGATAGCAAGTGAATATACCTTCTATAGGAAACGATCCCTCTAAACCCAAATCACGGAGAGACAGCCTTTTAAGTTCAGTAATTGCAGTTATACATGGAATTATACTGTTGTTGAAATTGTTCCAATCGAGGTATAAGGACTCGAGATTTTGCAACTTAGCCCAATCCCTGCAGCCTGCAAAGCACGAGTCAGATTCTAATAAACGGACTAAATACCAAAGAAACCCCTCTGGCTAATCCAATATACACATTTCCTCCTTATAATTTGAAAAAGTACAATTTAACCTGCATGGTTTTGGATCATAGCGAAACTGTTAGCTTTTTTTTAATTAAATTTAATAATCGAGCATAATTAAAGTTTTTTAATAAAAAAATAATGATGAAATAATCAAATCGACCTTTGAACCATGTCATAAATAAATTATAGACAAATTTTGGTTTCAAAATATAATTCCAGAATGACATCATCGCAAAAATTAAATTTCATAACAAAGCTTCTTCTTCCCTACTGATTTCTGGCAAAAGAAACACTTATTACAGCTTTGCAGCGGTCCACCATGGTTCTTGCCGGCAGCATCATCCAAAGGGAGCTGATCTATTCCTTCTACCAAAAGAGGTTTTCGATATTTGACTCTAAATAAAAGGATGTAAGAGGTAAAATTTATCACACTTTTATACTTTCTACGTCGACAAAGATATAAATGTTTGCTTTTCGTTTTTGTTGTACATTACATTCCTTAATTATTGCTCCTAATCCATCACGATAGGTTGATGTTTTATGACTGTATGATCTATTTTTTAATTGCTATTTTTTCTTGACTTCTTTCAATTTATGATATATTAATTCTTGTTGTTTTGAAGGGGTGCAAATGACTAACTCACAGCTAAAATTTAATGCAAAATAGTTTCCTGCTTTATTAAACTATCGTCAGTTTTTACGGGATTTTGAGTCTTCTACAATTATAATACATGAGAAATTAAAAGAAATAAGGCTGAGAAAATGGATGAAGAAATATGAAAAACTTGCCTCAAGCTGCAGACAAGAATGCTAAAAGTAAGGCTAGAACGAAAGAAAAAAAGATGCCGAAGAAAGATGAATTACTTGTCTGTGTAATCAAGGTTCTAAATGGCCAATCTTTCGATAGAAGCTTAGCAAAATCAAAACATATACAAGATTAAATTTTATATTTTACTCTGGAAAATTAGTAAATTGCAAAGGACAAAGAAGGAAAAGATTCAACATGGTGTATGTGGTTTAGGCCAAGATTCAATTATTGTTAGGCCAAGATTTTCTTGCGGTGATGAAGAATGGGATGATTGGTTGAGAGGTGATTCAAAGAATGAATTAACAACGAAAGAAGTTTGAGATGACGGGAGTGACCAACTTTGACTAATACAGAGAACTAAACCCTTTAATCAAAATTGGCCCAGTTCAATGGTCCACTCGTCGAGCCAAACCCTTCATTGTTCATACTAACATCTCAAAACTCAAAAAGTTTGCCAGGAACATCGTAATGTAAAAATTAGGTTTTGATGCGAACAATCCTGGAAATTATGCTCCCAGTATGTTGCTGTCGGGTAAAATAAATAGCACTTTCCTCCAAGATTAACAAAGTCAATCTAATCATTAGGAGCATAAAGATCCCTCCAATTGGATTGGTACAAACTAAGATGTATGAATTTTCATTTTCTTGTAGCTTTGCAATCAATATGGGATTCTCAAGCAATACATCACTAACTACACTTACTATATCTAACATTTGTACCACGTCAAGTTTAAATATATCAACCTTCAAAAAAATCTTCTTAAATATTGTGCGAGAACTCTTTCATGAGATGGTGAGAATATCAAAATAGTAGATACCAAGAACGAGAAACTTCAAATTATACAATATAAACGACTACAACACTAAAGTAAACAAATGATTTGAAAAAAAGATAGTAGGGTACGGTAGTTACCTGTCACTTCACCATGGAAGAGATTATAACTCAGGTCTAGAGCTCGCAGGTCCTTCAGAGGTATGAAAGTGCTAATATTTATATTTACATACCAATCCTCATACATATTCTCTCGCAAATTACTAAGGTGGAGTTCAACAATTCTCCCAGTAATATTACTGCACTTGACCCGTTCCCAGGTGCAGCAATCATCATTTGCTCCATCACCTTCTTTTCCAGTCCACGAAGAAAGGATAAGATGAGCATTTGTAGTCACATTTAAGGAAGCTTTGAAGTCCAAGAGAGCATGTTTTTCTTCTAAAAAGCAACCTGAGCAAAGTTGTCTTCCATTGAGTATTATTGATAAAGCAAGAGCCCATGAGGCAATCAGAATGGAATGACCGCGCATGATTTCAGTATGGAGAATTAGTGAAGGAAAGTGTTGTAATGAAAATGGAAGGCAGGACAAGTTATAAACGCTTATCAATGTACTGGAACGCAGGTTCGGAGAGCGGAGACAAGTCAACTCAGGTGTAAAACAGCGGCAGATTTACACCGGAGGCACGGCCCCACTGCTACCCTTAAATTTTCATGATACTTATAAAAATTTAATGTAATTTTAATTGTGCTCCTTGGAGTTTTGTGTATCTATTAGTTTATAAGCCCCCATTACTTCACTTAAATTTCTATAATACCTATAAAAATTTGATGTAATTTCAAGTGTGCCCCTGGAGTTTTGTGTATCTATTAGTTACTTATATTGAGAAAAATATATTTCGTGAATCTCAAAATAAAAAGGTTATAAACCATTATCAAAATATGAAAACTCATCATGAGCAATTGTAAATGGTTTAGTTTCTTTTTGAAATAAAATTATTATTACATTAATAATTTTGAGTTTGTCTTTTGATATTTTTCATGAAATATATGCATCATCTGTACTTGTTGATTAATATTTTTTTCCTTAAAAAAAACTAAAAAAAGAGCAGGTAAAAAATTTTAGAGTTACTTTTGCCCTCACTAAAAATTTTTTCTGGCTCCGCCACTGATGTAAAACGTCAGGTATGCAATCAAGCCTAGTTAAACTCATTATATTAGAAGTTTCTTACATTCTTCTAAGGAACGCTACAAATTAACTCGTTATATTATCAAAGTCCATAATTGAGTTATTATTTTGAGTGCATTTATTGTTGTTATTTTTCATGTTTTTGATAAGAAATTTCTACTTCGGTCCGTCACATATTCAGATGTCCACTAATAGAGCTTGAACATTTGAGCACTCCGATGTTCATAACCTGTTGAAGTTAAGGGATGGCAGCAAAAATTCGACAGGTAAGAGAAACCTATGCCTGTAATCGATATGGGCACTGCCACACATCCTCTTGTGGAGCTGGAAGCTGCAAAATCAGCCACTAAATTATTGTACACCTTTGCTGATCACGACCAAGTTGTTCCAACCTGTAAAATCACCCTCCAGTAAGCAATAATATATTAAGTTCAATAACTAACTCAAAAATTAAGTTCAACAACTTTGTATATTAAACCTTCACCACTCTATTCAAGTGATATATACCTTATCTGATCAAGGTAAGTGAACATATTTATGTCATAATGTTAACAGTTGAAGTTGACGGAGTGAGCCTCATAATTAATCATAAAGAGTCTAGGGGGTTAATGAGAACAAAAATAGTTCAATAGGCTAAGTGAAATTTTATAATAATTTGATGACTTCTAGTGCATTTTACTCTAAAATTAATTATGTGAGACTGTAAGCGCAAAATGAGTTATAGACTTTGATCTAATAGTTAAGGTTGAGATTTCAAGATTTAAAGATTTTGGAAGGGGTTCCATTCTCTCTTTTTTCCTCTTGCTTTTTTAAGTCCTGCCCCTCTCCTGCTTGAAAAAACAAAGCACAAAGTGAACAATAATTAAATACAACAAATAGAAGAACACAAATAAAATCCAAAAGTTAGAGAGGTAAGAACACATAACACGAAAATTTCTAAACAACTATAATTTCTCACACAAATGTAAATTAATTTACGTTTTTATATAACGAAAAGTTCTATTGTTGAAAGCGTTCCTAATATTTTGAGAATTGATCATTAGGGGAAAAAAAACAAACATGGAATCGAACGTCCTAATTAAGAAGCTACAAACACCCCAATAGATTAAGTGAAAGTTTGCCACCGATTTAGGGCTTTCGACTTTAGTTTTAGGAATATGCACAAGCAAAAAAAAAATAGAATGATTGATTTGTTAAATCTCAAATACGAAATACTCAAAATCAATTCATAATGGTATAGAATCAAGATTCATTAGGCATTGTTAACAAAGCATTATTTATTTAGTTTTCCAAGAAAATTACCTTTCACCCTTGAATTGAGAATTTCATTTCCAAATCTTTAATTTTTCTTTTGGAAGAGCAAAAGTTTGAATTCAGAACCTCCTACTTACAGTCCATTTGTCTTACCAGCCAACCCTCCCCCTTATTTCCTAATCTTGTTTAATTATTTTCTAAAAGTGAAGCAAAAAATTTCTTTTTGCTTATTACTAAAAACACTCCTTTTAGTTCTTCTTAAGTTCTTAAATTATTTCTATAAATTTCCTTGTCCCCTCCCCGCTTCTTAAACCCCACCATTTTCCTATATATATATATATATATATATATATATATATATATGGTTATGTTAGTTTACTCAAACTCGACCAAATATAGTTAGTTGAGTTCAAATCAAATGAACTCATCGAACGTTATAAACTGCAGAGTAAAGTAGGGATACCAATTATCTTTTTTTGTTTCTTATCTAATTTAAGTTTACTGCTTTTTTTTTTTTTTTTGCAATCTCCTGAGACATGTGAAGTAGGCTTTATGTTTTGAGAAATAAATTGATACTTCCTGTTGAGATTATTTGTGCATTACATGAATTAAATTCTGATAATCATGAAAATGAAATTTCTCTTATATCTTTTTTCTGGGTAAAATACCCAAAAACTCTCTATGATTTGATAAATATTCAATTTAACTCCCTCTGGTTTGGAAACCTACACTATAGCTCCCTATAGTTTTGACTAAATTGAAAATTGGACAGAAAGTATCAAATCTAATGGTTGTGTATGAAATGTCACTATTGCCCCTACTATACGTGAGATGCTTTCCATTTAATTTTCAATTTAGTCGAAACCGTAGGGAGTCATAGTGTAATTTTTTAAACCAAAGAGAGTTAAATTGAACGTTCAATAAACCATGGGGAGTTCATATATATAGAGATAATATTGACATTTCACGTATAACCATTAGATTGGATGCTTTCCGTCCAATTTTCAATTTAGTTGAAACTATAGGGACTTATAATATAGATTTTAAATAAGAAGGAGTTAAATTGAACATTTAACAAACTATATTGATTTTTGATATTTTATCCTTTTTTTTGGTCAATCAACAATATCTATATTTACTTTACTCTGACTTCTACTCCAGTCAATTTTAACGGGAGATAGCCCAATTGGACTATGGGAATCAATCGAAATTGAATCATCATTGGATTAAATGGAAACACTGTACACTTATATAGATTTGGAGAAGCATAAGGGAAAATGAAATTTCCCTTATGACAGAAAAAGGAAAAAAAGAAGGCAGACCATGAGTTTCGTTCAATAACTGCGTTCAAATAACGGTTTTATTCGATTAGATGGCCGCGGTTTTTTTCGAGAAGGACGTTACCTTTTCAGGGGGTAGTCGGTTGGCGGCATTTGCTGGTAGCAACTTTGCCTGGGCCCCACTTCCCCATCCGCCTTGACTCTTGACTCTTGAGGCCTATCAACCAGGCGTGTATTGCATTTCTAGGGACCCCACAACACAAGGGATTTGGGGCAGGGACGGTCATCAGGTCGACCGTCCCTGAGCAGTCCTCTCACAAAAGGAAATGAGAGGACTGCAATAAGCCACGTATAATGGAGGCAGCAACAAAGGAAACGACGCTGTTTTAGTAAGTGAGTAGAGAAAAAAATAAAAAAAAAACATTTGAGAGGCTAACGGACTCCGTTAAAATACCTCAGCTGTCCGTTCCAAAAATTCCCGCTCAAATTAATGAGGCACGACTATTCATCTGAAATCTTCAAATGAAATAAAATTTTGGTCTCCCTCAAAAAATATAGCTTGTAAACATTCATTCACAATTCCAGAGTATCAGCAAAATAATATCCCTACCCCAAATTGAAAATTTTCAAATGAGAGATTTTTGGAGAAAGTGTTGCAGAAATATAGTATCATCAATCAGTATACTGAGGGAACACAAGAAGTAACTATTGCGGGACAAAAATTTTTCATAAAGGCTGCAAAAAGGTAGAAGTTGGTGAGATCTGAAGCATAAATAGACTCAATCGAATTGGACTAAACCCCAAAGGTAAGAATATTGCAAACTCATTGCACTATTTGGCTTGTTTTGCGATAGAAGGGGGATGAATTTACTTGCATGATTTTGTTCATACAACTTGTTTAAGACAGTGTGACATGAGTAATGAAATTGGAACTCTGGTGAAAACTCCTAAGCAAGGAAATCATATGGGTAGCACAAATTAGATACATTGAAAGCCAACTTAAAGAACGTATGCACAGGGAACTTATGCATGCCAAGTGTTTGTAAATTTGACTCAATAGACGAATTAAATGACTTAGGATGTTTATAGATATATAAAATAACAGGGAGAGTGTGAAGGTAATTGTTCCTTGCTTTTTTTTTTATTCTTGTTGCAGGATAGCAGTGACACCATATAATTTAAACTGTATTACCGACTGTGTATGAGCACTTACATCACAGTAGATTGACACATACAAAGATAAAAGATAAGCAAAGTGAGTTATTGTAAATTCCACGAATGAAATATAGAGTACAACACTGTAATGTCTGACTCACAATGCGTACATTTATGACAATAAACCGTAACTATCATCTAACAACATGTATATTATCGGAAACCTATTGTGCACAACTGTGACACTATGCGACCATTACTCACATATATGATTTTATCATAGGTTTTAGCATCCGAAAGGTCTACCTAAACAAGGATTAGGATGGCTTGACAACATCAAGAAGGTATACTTATTGAAAGGTATTCCATAACATGATTACAATGATATTTACCTACTCGTAATTGCTTTTAAAGTATGGTGTAACTTGTTGCAAGATATAAATTTTACTACTTGTAATTGCTTTTAAAGTATGTCGTAACTTTGAATAACTTGTAAGATTTTGTCTAGACAAGGTATGTGATGTACACCGTATTTATTGGAATGTATAGCATGTTAGTCATTAATAACATTTATATCAGATGTTTTTACTAGATGGTTATTTGTTACAATCGTCTATGAAATTGACCATTAGTTCTTACGAGAGTGCATTAAAT